CATATTTCAAGTTTTTCTTTTTTTCTAATGCTATTAATATTGGCATTATAATTACTAGGGTTATTAACAGCAAGAATAGAAATATAAAATAAATAATATTTCTGAAAATCAAGGAAAAGGGTAAACAAGTGAGATATCCCCTTGTGAAAATATCCATGTGTACTTACAATTAAGAAAGTGATTTTGATGAATTAACTTGAGAAATATAGAAGTGTTACATCAAAATGCTAAAGAGAAAATATTGTGAACTTTCATCAGCCAAACAATCAGTCAGTGAGTTAGTCTTTCCCTTTTTTCTCTTTCACTGTGTATTTGTGTGCAAGTGCATACATCTTTGTGAGTGTATGTGTAATATAGCCACAGTAGATTGGTTTCTGACTTTTTTATGGTGTATGAATTTTATCAAACAAAATAATTATAGACAATAATTGTGAGTTATTAACTTCATTAAGTACTTTTTAAAGTGCTGAATGCTATTCCCAGTTACCCCTTTAAGTATTTTATAATTTTATTGTTTGTGTACACACTCACCCACCCACCCACTCACTCACTCACTCACTCACTCACTCACTCACTCACTCACTCACTCACTCACTCACTCACTCACTCACACACTCACTCACACACACACACACACACACACACACACACACACACACACACACACACACACACACACACACACACACACACACACACACACACAAAGTTGAGAGGAAAGATTCAATGAAGCTTAAGTTACATTTGATGATAAACTAAGGTAAACTCTTTCTCTCTCTCTCCCATCCTTGTTGGAGGGGTAATGGGTAAAGTAAAGGATAGGAGGGTATAGAGGACAAGGGGGAAACTGTGACATACATTCTGCCAATGATAGTTTCTCATTTTGGGTAGAGGGCGGGGCTAAGTCTAGCTGATTTGCATGATTGGTGGGAAGAAGGATGGTGGGTGGAACTATAGAATTTCTAGGGCAATATATGGAGTCTAAAAAATAGAGCTAGAACAGAATAGGGAGATCACTCAGCAGCAAATAAAATAAAATGGAATTATGACACGTCATAGTATATTCCACTGGCACTGCATGATGCTGAAACCAGTGTCACCATATGAAACAGGTTAATAATTAACAGCCATGTGTTCTTGGTACACACTTGGTCTTCAGAATTTCTAAAACGAAATGTATTCGCATAAAGGGGTGATACTTTGTGTGATTTTATTATTGCAGATGACATAATAACAGCCTATCCAATATTTTTTTTTTCTAAGAAAGGAAGGAAGGCACTTACACATGAAAAAGGAAACAACTGTAGAAGTATGCAGTTTCAAAAGCAACTAATAAAAATAAAAATTCAACTGAAGCAGTGATGTAGAGAACCAAAGTTAGTTTCTAATTCTATTTCTGTTTTATATTATGTGATCATAATGACAGAGGACTTATTGCTCTCTGCAAATGGAAGCATTAGTAAAAATCAACATGAGTAAAGAAATGCAATAATCAAGTGAATAAAAGTTTATTTCCACATATATCTACAAACATTTTTCATGGAGTATAAACTTGTCCTATTTGAGAGTAGAACACCTTACATACACTAAAAGCACCAAGACCTTATTGTTTAGCACAATAATATTAAATAAAATGTACAGATCTATTCAAACTTTTCCATATCTTCAGTTATTATTTTGTCACATCACATTAAATATGCTAGTCTGTAAGCAGAATGTTAACATACAATTCCACTCAGTAAACTGCAAGTAACACAAGAATAAGTAATTAAAGCAAATGGCCTAATACATATTTGTATTTGACACTCTACAGTCACTCATTTTGAGATGATGGTGAAATATATTACATTCAAACACATATTAACCATCTATCAGGGTACTGTACTTAGATTTTAGATAAGCACTATCAATATATCCACACTAATAACATTTCTGTTGTTCAAATGTATTAATTTCAAGTCCATACCTAGGAACAAGAAGCAGCAACTTTTTGGAGCATTAAATACAGAAAATTATTTACAGTGAAGTGATATGAAAATGACCAAAAATATATTTTTTCAATGATGTTCACTCATATAAATGATAACATTTCTTTTCAAAATGCTTACCCTTGCAAAACACTGATACACAAAATCTCTCTAGAAAAAATATGAAACTGAACTTTATAACAAAAGTTCAGAAAAAAAAAATAATGATAATAATAATAATAAAAAAACTATATAACAAGTTCAGAAATACATAAATTATGCTGTATTCTGAGTATTATCTACCTTGGAAAATAATGCCCATATGCAAATGATATTTGACAACATTAAACATAAGACATCACTGAGAGGGTAAAATAATTAAATAACATAGCTGTCACAATACAAGCTGCACCTCACTGAAATCTAGGCCCCAATGCATTGGTCCCTTGTCTTAACCTATCATTTCAATGACTGCTCATACTGTAAATTTACATCCTTCAAAAATCATTTTAACATGATGAATATGTTTACAAGCTCCTTCCAAATAAGACTATTATTTAAGATAAAGAAACACTGAAGTTCATACATTCACCTCATATAAAACTACAGCATCAAAAACTGCTCATATTCATATTTACACAGGCATGGGTATCTACTATTTATAACCATTAGCACCAAACATATGCACTTTTTATTACAATCATGTATTTTCCTTTGGAAGAAATCTATGGTAAAATCAATGATTTAAGAAAAAATATGACTTCAGATGGTGACTAATTTTAGGATTTCTTCTCCTGCATGCATTGTACATATATAGGAATGATAGCAATATGATAAAGAAATAAATAAAACATCTTATTTTTTAAAGGCAACTGTGATAACCTGAAGAATTACATAATGTGCTGTTTTTACCTTGCCTGAATCAATTCCAGGTGCTGGACTCAAAATTAATATACAAAAGACTGTTGGCCCTAATGAACAATTTATATAATTTTTTTTACAGCACCATGAGATGTTTACATTCAGGTATCTTTTCCTAATGAGAGATGTTCAATATCATTTTGATTAAGCCTTTTCAAATTAAAATCTTATAACAAAAATGCTACTTTGATAAAAAATATCCATCTACTGTTCATATTACAAAAGAATATTTATGTTCTGATGTTAAATAATAATGAACCTAATTGAAAATTATTGTATTGTGAACATTTTGCTTACTCTGAAAGATTGCCTCAGTCTCCAACATGACTCCAGCATAATGTAATATACATACTGTCTTTTATATGTCAAACATACTAGTAGTAGATAAAGGACTGTGTTGATATCTAATTCAATACACTTTCAAAAAACTTGATTGTTATTTGCATACAGAGTCATTCTGGGGCTGCACGGTGGACTTGTTAGATTTGGAACATCTCGTGGATCTCCCTCACGACGGAGACTCCTGTTCTCCTTGTCCAAGGCGGTTACCTGCTTGAGGGAAAAGGGAAAGTTACTTACTCTTTCCTCTGGCAGAAATCAATTGATAGATAATAATCTTACAATACACCGGAAATGCTACTTATTATATTCTTTAAAATATAATGAACCAAGATTTTTCTGAACACAAAATTGATTATAAGAGCTCAATAACTAAGGTTTTTTTTTCCAACATGTAGCTCATATTTGGTAACCCACTAGTGCTGGGTACATGCACTGTCCATTGGGTTCTGTTTCATTAATATTGTTGACTCACAAGAATTACATAACCTACCTGATCTCACATGTTATGCCATTCCTTGAATTTTTCAGATAAAAGTTTTTGTTTCCATTATTACCATTGCATTAGTATTATCATTCTTATTTTGTCGTCATAAATATTACTACTAAAAAGATTAAAACCTTTTTTCTGAAATTTAAGGAATAGCGTAAACAGATGAGATCAGGTAACCTAGTAACTGACTCCTTGGTGACTATGACCTGTGGAACCATTTATGCATAAACAAAATTAATTGAAAGAATACAGCAACTAGTGAATGCAATGGCTTAACCTTATGGATCACTACCTCTATTACTCATTTAAATTTTATCATATATTATGATGATAGTGATAAATAAAAGAAAACATATAAATCAATCAATCAGTACATATACAGTTTAAAAATCATGATTAAACTGAATAAAATGATTCACTTAAATTGCAATAAGTAAAGCAATATATATACATCTCACGCTTCTCAGCTTTTCTATAAAAAGGATAAAAAATCTGTAATTATAGGCCTCATTAACCCAATTTCCATTTTTATATAAGAGATTAATAAGATAATATAGCAATGTAAATACCTTAGTAGCTGTTTACATGTCTATGGGGTATAGATATACTGCACATACTTCATTAAGTAATATCTGAAGACTATTTTGTTTTTCATTTTTGGTCCACAACTACGATCTCGGAGATATTACTGATCATATCATATAAATAATCACAAGATAAGGGGAAAAACACCTTCTCTTCCTAGAAGATAATTATACTCAAATACTTACACAATTTTTTTTTAATAAATCAAATTCCAAAATAAATATGGCTAGTATGGCAATAGAATATAGAAAAAAAGAAAAGAAATTAAACTCATGTACAATACACTAGTGTTATATATGTACTACTCAAAATTGAGTATTAACCCATTGCCTCCAGGAACATGTATGGTTAACTATAGTTTTGTTAAATGTGTTTACACATAAATAGCTCCACAAGTGCTCTGCCATCAGGGAGTCAACTAGGAGATCTATGTGACCACACCAGATTTCCCCTTGAGTTTTCTTTTCTGCTATTAATATTGATGTTATTATTATCTTGGGGAACCATGTATG